TGGATGATGGATGATGGATGATGGATGATGGATGATGGATGATGGATGATGGATGATTCCTGTCACTGTGTTCTTTTGCTCAACTCTCTTTGTTTTGTAGACAACAGGGCTCCCATCTTCAAAGACTGGAAGAAAATGCGGCTATCTTTCATAGCATCGCCGGAGTCTCATTCAAAAAAACTGAGATGCTTAGCAGACGGAGCACAACCTATCAAGTACCATTGGCTGAAAGATGGGAAAGCGATAGTTCGTAACATGAGGACAACTCTATCGCATTTGAAGTTAAGGAAACTTGTGCCACAAGATAGTGGGCAATATACCTGTGTGGTTTCCAATGCTTATGGAACAATAWATCATACGTACACTTTACATGTGGTTGGTAAGTTAAACATCATTAGTYWTACAGTTCTCTKAGCTTCAACTATCTTAAAAATATTAAYAATAATAATGATGATAAAGATGATGGTGATGATGATGGTGAGGGGGATGATGATGATGAGGTTCTTATATAGCGTAATTTTACATCGTCTCAATGCGCTTTACATAGATTTTAACCAGTGGACAACTTTATGGGCTGCATATTAAGGTGCTATTAGCAGTCGCCGTGCAGCTTACAATCATGAGTGACTTGTTAGGACATTAGTGTTATGCCTCCAATGGATTGGCTGTTGGATCGGGCCCTGGAGACAATCCCGTATTCTTATACGAATAATTCAACAGGTTCTTTTATGTCCACCATTTTACAAGTGCAGGTTAGGAAGGGTTGGGAGACAGGGCCTACGTTTTAAAGTCCTTATCCATGAAGATTTTTAGGTCTAACCATTTGAAGATGAAATTAGAAAGGCAAAACCTTCTCAGTTATTTTAAGACCCTTAATGCTGGTTTGGCCGAGGCTTGAACCACGACCCGCTACACAACAGAACGATGAATTAATAACTCAGATATACCGCGTGGCGGTTATTTTACCAATCAACGCTCTTGCAGCTTTTCCTAGCCCAAAGTAGAAGCAGAGACCTAAGTAATACATTGTATTGTTTTTTTAATATCGTACTTAAATGAGCGTCCAGTTTATTACCTGCATGTATGTCGATATTCCTCAAACGAACCGGCAAATGCTTTTTTCCCGGAATGATATTTTTTCATAGCATTTGATAAATTGGATAACATTGATTTTTTTTCTAAAGCAAAACCACGATCCAGACCAACACTCCAAAGGAACCTTCCAAAGAACACAAGTGTGGCTTTAGGAGATAACGCAACCTTGTCATGTATCGTGGTTGCTAGTGACACCTTGCCTGATTTTAGGTGGCTCAAGTGGAAGCAGGTTCCAACGAYCTATCCATTACTGAACATCGGTATTGACAACAAAGCTTTCACATTTATCGACCTAAAGTATTACGATACGATCAGATCCGGTGACCGCTACGGTGTCAAAGTGACTATTGTTAATGTGACGGAAAAGGATTTAGGGCTTTACACGTGTTTGGTCCGTAATCACATCGGCAGTGACCATGTCAGCGCCTTCCTGAACAAAAAGATCGAGCCTAAAACTACCAAGTTCCCTAAACATGTTGGTGAGTGTGTGAAGCAGATAATTATTGAATTATCATCAATTTATTAGTAAATTGACTGTAGAAAAATGTTGCTTCTGCTCTAAAAACTATGATATGCTTAGTGTCAAGTGGCCTTTAGATATTGTTGATTTGGCTTTCTCGGGAATGACGTCACACGTCACAGTTAATGGTACGTAAGGATGGAAGAGGAGATCGGCTAGAAATCCTTTTAAAAAAGGACTTTGAATGAACCAGTTTTAAGGCATCATTGATACCTTTTTAATCATCACATCTAACTAACAGATCAATATATCATGAACAAAGGCAATACGTCTTATCCTAAACACCTAATGGACATCAACAAAGTGAAATCCTCGAATCTGACATCCAACATCCATTTGGTTTCAGATCCACCTACCGCGAACGAAGGCAAGTCTATCTCATCCAAATACCGGACGTCCAACTACTTGGAGTCCTCGGATCTGGATTTATAGTTGCATGCAATGCCCTGTGCATTTTTTAGCAATCCAATCAGGGATCCCATCAATTTCGATTCATTTGGTTTAGTTTCGGAAATAGAGGCTTTGCACCATCACGTGATGGCAGACATGTCAGGAGCTAGTAGCAGATATCAGAGTTACACTCTTTTGCCTTTCAAACAATTGTTTCAAGTCGAGGCATTTGGGTCAATACAATGAAATGTAAAACTGACCCAAATGTAACWATTGTCTGAAGGCAATAATGTGTAACTTCAATATCTGCTATCGAACCTGGTCGAATCTGATTTACATAAGAAAGAATTCAGTTTCCCCAGAGGAAAAAGACTCTGCCTCCTGTCATGGCTGCCATCACGTTATGGTGCAGCGCTTTTCTCGGTTAAGAGGGACTTAACCGAGAAACGTCCGGATGTGATGCAGGAAACTTTTCCATGTCTCTAGCATTTTTCATGGTTATAAAAGCTSTGCCGGCATAGTAATTAATTAAAAGGTAAATCTGTTGGTAAATTTGTGTAATAGCGTATTACGAGTTTTCTTTAGTATTAACAGTGAGATAAMTTATCCAGTTGCGTATGATATTGTGAAGGGCAGATTTTGTAGATGGCCGCTGTCAAAATCCTCATCTATGAACGTACGCCATTTAATTTCCTCCAATTAAGTTATCCTTCCTTATCCGTCTTTATCAGGAAGCATAGGGACCATATTCCCTTCCCTAAGTAGGGACCCAATCGAACCGGGAAGTACCTTAAACYCTCCCACTCATGGGCTTCCTGTTAGTGCCGTGTCTGTAGTAACAACTTTTACATACGTTGCATATAGCATATACTTTTGAAATAGACAGTCTACTGCAACTAGACTTTCAGTTTTGGAGATATTYGACTACAAAATCCAGAATTCCACTTCCAGATTTGCCAGGCACTGGGTAACCCCACCCCGTGTTTCGAACATAAACATCCCGTACATTCAATATGAAAAGCGAAGAGACATGTATCCACTCTATTTTTGAATATAATTCGTTGACTGAATTATATCTTGCCAATAAGCATGGCTTCAATGACTATTTTATTAGATTTTGCCATGAAAAATTGTTTTTGGTGTTATTTGTTTACTGGATACAATTGTATTACCAATTGAAGACGATTCACCAAGATCTATTCACAGGATAACGTTTTGGAACAGTGAGTACAATCCAGAAAGAAGGGTGTGCTATCCTGAAAGCGTAATTTTTCAATTTGTTTGAGATAAGTAACGGACTATGCAACARTGCAATCCCATAGCACCATTTCCTGCAGCAAAGCACCACTTCAAAAAAATGCCAACAAATTAAAGTGCGACATGATTATCATAAGCACAGATAACGCTGAATAAGACCAGCAATAATCTTAAACAAAAGAAGAACATATTTGATGTCCAAGACGCTCCAGATTCAAGTACTCGGAGAAGTCAAAGCGAGAGCCGTGGAATGTTTCGTAGCTTTTCGTATATCCCCATTCATCACGTATTTGGGATGCAGAATATTTGGTGTGCAAAGGAACGCATTTGATCATGCAGCTGCGAGTAAAACTCTGACATTTTTTTTAGCGAGAAAGAAAGTTTTCTTAGCTTGTGATTAAAATTTCTTCACTTTTTATCGAACGCTGTGACCCTGATAAAACCTCTGACATAAAAAACCTCCATGTGACAAAAACAAACATGTTTTATCGAAGCACAAAAAATATTTTGCATGCTATAGTGCAAATCACAGATATCCGTAAANAAAAAAATGCCAACAAATTAAAGTGAAACATGATTATCATAAGCACAGATAACGCTGAATATTTGGTGTGCAAAGGAATGCGTTTGATCATGCAGGTGCAAGTGAAACTGTGGCATTTTTTTTTTAGCGAGAAAGCCCCGACAGTTTTCTTAGCTCGAGCTTAGCTTCTTAAGCTGGAACAGCTTATCTTGGCACCCAGCTTTCTCAAATTCGTTGACGCGAGTGTGTTTATTCTTTGTCTAACTTAAATCAATTAAGACCTTCATTTATTATCATTTAATCATTTCTTAAATTCCCGTGATCTCGTGGAACATGCTCTCAGGACCGTAGCCACCAACTTTTGATTGGTTCGGTTTCCAAGGGAGGGGGGAGGCTCACACACACATATTGCGGATTTCCCGCCAAATTAATGACATCGATATCACGAGAGAAGTGTTTATTCATTTTTCTTCTAATCATTAAAAAAAAATTTTTGTTCAATGATTTTTCTCATTTTTATTTTTATTTTATTTTTATTGTATTTTATTCCCCCCCCCTTCCCCCCCCCCCGAAAGTTGGTTCGGTTGAAACCGGACCAACCGTACCGGTGGCTACGGCCCTGGCTCTTATATTAACCCAGAATCATAACGCTGCGGAAAGCGTTTTAAGACCACGCCAGCAATGGTCTAACAGTTTTAGCCAAGGCTGTCTTATTATGAAAAGTCAATGTTGGTTTTGTTTTCTTTCACAACTTTTCAACTGCAGTTTGAGCTGTCCAARCGGCTCGAACCACACTTTTTTTTGCTTCGAAACTCCATTGTCCCCGTGGATGCATGACTCCATAGCACAGCCGGCCTGTTCAGTTGATTTTATAGCCATGTTGGAGAATTCTCGACTCTGAGTCATCATCAGACTTGCCCTCGAGTATAACGATGATACAAGAGGCGACGAACAGTCCTTATTCGATGAAGACTGCCAAGATATCACAGATTTGTCATATGCAATTAACTTGTTTTTACCGCCATGTTGGAGAATTCACTAGGACTCTGAGTCATCATCAGAACTG